TATAAGCGTAGCTAAAAAAAAGCTCACGCACTTCAATACCTAACCACTTTTTCGTTTTATTCTAAAAAAAAGGTTACGCAGTCAGTGACTATTTGCAGTATGCACTAACATTTTGGGGTGCAACCGTAGGGTAATAATCACTCGAGTGGTGGGAGTAAACATCTCGAGATATCTCGAGTGATCTCAATAATCGAGTACCACTCGATTTTTCACTCGAAATCTCCCATCACTAAGAAAAAGGATAGTAGAAGATAAGTTCTGTTCTATTGAATGGTGGTTGGCAAATGTGTTTTTGTGATTGATAATTTGTAAAATGTCGATGAGATTTCTTCGTTGGTAATATTAAGATTAAGTAGTTTCTATTACTCTAATCTATTTAGCTGTAACTGGAACAGGTAAAATAGATTTTGAGTTTCTAACGTATTTATATTTTTATGTAAGTATGATGAATTTCAGTTTACTAGGCGGGAAAGGGAATTCGCTTCAGCTTTCCCTTTTTTCCATTTTAGTTATTCTGTAATTGTTTCATTAGTACATTGGAAGGATCATTAATGATATTCAATTTACATTTCAGATATATAAATATGTCTAAAGAAGAAGTACTCTTAGAACTTGTCTTGGACAAATTTTCAAATATTAAAGAAGTTCTTAGTGGTACGAAGGACATTGAAGATTTTTTAGTTAAACTTAAGTTAAATGAGAATGAAGAAGTAGATGTTATTTTAAAGAAAGCAAAAAATTTGATCGATTGTCTTTATGATCACTCCGTTATAGTCAAAGACGAATTTTATAAAAAATACAATGCACTTGAAAATTTAACTGAACAAGAAAACAATGGTCATTGTGAGAAGGCTGTTGAAGAAAATTCATCAAATATTGAATCTGTAATGAGTACTGAAAATTTGGTAAATACTGAAATTGAAAATCAAACGCAAGAAAATATCGAACATGTTGAAGGTATCATTGAAGAAGAAAGAGATAATCTCAATGTAGAAGAAAATGGAGATAAAGAAGTTGAAGAAGAAAATCATAATAATTTGGAAGAAGATCCTTTAAAAAATTCAGAAAGTCCAAATATAATTGAAAGTAGTATTCTAGAAGACAACGAGGAAAAGGAAAATTTGGATAATGAAAAGCAATCATCAGACCAAAAACCGATATGTGAGGAAAATAAACCAGAACATAAGTCTTTAATTCGTTTAGTTGATCTTAGTAAACTAATAGATCCTAAGCAAAAAAAATCTGTTAAATTTGATAGCTCCATAATAGTTCTAACAAGCTCTGATGAAGAAACTCAGACTCCAAAGAAAACAAGTGATGCAAATATGGAATGTGGTCTTTTGAAGTCAGCTCTTAAACCTCCTAATTCTGATGGTGATAATTGTTCAAAAAGTAAAGGAAAGGAGTTATTAAAACATTTAAAATCATCAAAAACTAAACATAAAACAGACTCTGAAGAAAGTGATAGTGATGTAACAGTTTCTAAAACGTTACAAAATGAAAAGAAAACTAAAGGGCAATCAAAACATGATAAAACTTCTTCTAAAGTTTCGTCAGATTCAGATGTCCAGGAATTTCAAGAAAAAGAAACTGGTTCCAAAAAATATAAGAAGAAAAGGAATTATGAGGAAAATGGTAACAAAAAATCTATAAACAAAGATGTTATTAAAGATAACAGTCAACATAATTCTGAATCGGAAAGTGATAACTTGTCAGGGGACGAAAATACCACAAATAAGGAAACTGAAGAATCTAAAGACGGATCCTTACGGAAGTCTAGAAGACTTAAAAATAATCAAACATCCAAAGAAAAAGAAAGAGCAAGTCTAAAAAAACTGTTTAAACGCACACTAACTAGAGGTAACGTTTCTTGTTCTGAAACAAAGAAAAAATCGAGAGAGGAAAGTAGCAGTGATTCTGAATCTGGATCTATTAGGAAAAGGAAAGTCTCTGGAAAGAAGTCAGATTTGATTGAAAAAGAGTTATCTGATACATCAAGTTTATCAAATACTGAAACTGACATTAGTGCTACTAAAAGCAAAACTAAAAAAAATAGCACTAAGAGAACAAACGACAGTATACTGCATACTGCTTCTTTAAGTACAAAAGATGAGAAGTTTAAGTGTGAGGTATATATACCACTTCCTCGTATTGAATGTGAACGGATGAAGGAAATCTATTTAAAAAATAAGGAAATCTTTGAAATAAAAAGGTTCGTAAAAAAATTACACATGTAATTAGCACATAGTATTTAATAATACCTGTTTTTAAATTTTAAAATATGTCCTACAAGAAAGTGTACAAATTAAGAACATTACACAATAAACAAATGTTTGTATTATGTTTTGGTTGCGAAATGTGTTATTTCCGATGCTTTGGAAAAGAATCCATTTTTTCTAATATTTCAAGATACATAATGTCAGATTATCAAAATTTGATACCTGCACCTAGTAATTATAAATCAATTCTAGTAATTCTGCATTTCAGGGGGGCTTTCGTTTTGGCAAAAATAGCTATTAACAACTTATATCAGTTCAGAGTAACTCTAAGCTGCTATTAGCTATTAATAGCTACTATTTTTGCCAAATCGAAAGGCCCTCAGTTATGAGTAGTCGGATTTGCCAACTGTGTACAGTATAAAAAAAGATATATTTAAAAATTACTCTGTTTTTAAGGGAGTAAATGACTACAATAATAATTCTTTGGATTTTCTAAAAACTAAATAGGAAGTGATCTATATAATTATATAAGAAATGTGTATATACTGGGTGTTTCGTAACTGGACAGCCAAAATGAAATGTCGTATGTAAAATCGAATTTTAAACATGAAATAAAAAATAATTTTTTTCAGATCGGGTTTCGTTTAGGAGGCATCCAGTTATAAAAATGCTTTATTATTTTATTATATATATATATTATACCGGGTGTTACGAAATTCGCGGACACGGACTATGGGATCATGTTAAGCTAGATAATGTCATAAAAAAATGTCTATCATTTTTCAATCAGACCGATATTTTTCGAGATATGGCAGTTTTAAATATCCAAAAATAATACAAATTTTCAATTTTTAATCATTTGATAAACAATTATGACAAACGAATTGTTCAAAATTTCCACCCCCTGCTGCTAAACATGCTTCAGCACATTGTGCTACAGCTCGAATGGAGTTGCGTACCTACTATCTCTGGCGTTATTTGTTGTATTGTTTGAAACTGACAGCTCTATAACAATTAATGACAATTCAAAAAGCATTTATCAATACTTTGACATCGTTAGAGTACAGTAAAAGTACCTGTCAATACAAACTGCAAAATAATAGGCCACAATTATTCAAATCGTGAATAGTATGATATGCTGATGGCTCTCGGAGCTTCAAATAATCGTGCAGGTGAAGCAGTGCGGTTGGCTTGGCAGAGGCGATCCATTTGCTTGGCCACCTCGTTGTCCAGACCTAACGCCATGTGATTTTTTATTTTGGGGCTTCTTAAAAACGTTGGTGTACAGAACAGTGTACAGTGGCAAATTTGAATGAATTGCAGAACCGCCTATTTCAATCAATTCAGCAAATAACACCAGAGGTCCATTAGAGCAGTAGCACAATGTGCTGAAGTATGTTTAACAGCAGACGGTGGAAATTTTGAACAATTGTTGTAACTCGTTTGTCGTAATTGTTTATTTAATGATTGAAAATTGAAATTTATAAATATATATCTTTAATATTTTTGGATATTTGATACTGCTATATCTCGAAAAATATTGGTCTGATTGAAATGTCATAAAGACACATTTTTAGCACCTTAAATAGCTTAATATGATCCCACAGTCCGTGTCCGCGAATTTTGTAACACCCGGTATATATAGTAGATGTTCAAAAATGCCACCGTTTACATTGATATATGCCTGACGATGTAAAACAAGTGAAGTGACAGGATCTTGCTGTTTTTTCATGAAAATTAATACTTTATTTTAAAAACTTAGTAGAAAACGTCACTGAAAGTATTATTCTCCGCTAGCCACTACTTTTTCCTATTTATCCAAGAGTTGACCCATTCTTTTTGCATCTTCATAATAGTGGGCGGGGTAGAGCTTCCCATTTAAGCGTTTCCAAGTAGATTTTCACCAGTTTTGCAACATGGGCAAAGGTAGGATTTTTGTTTGGGGCGGGCCTTGAAGGGCCAGCTAGTCAGCGGGCTAGTCCGACCAAAAGGATATTGAATAGTTTTTTTTTGTTCTGGGGTGGGCATCGGGCTCTCTGGTGGGGGGCGAGAGTTATCATGCTGCAAAATCATTGTCATGTCTCTGTTCCTATACTGCCCTTTTTTTCTTCAATGTTTGGCTAAAACGCATCAATTGTAGTCGACAGCAATCTCCTGTTATTATTTCATTTGTTTTGAAGCTTAGAACCGTGGTTATTCGGCTTTACCGATGATGTTTTTGCATGGCTGGACTTACCCCACGACAGAGATTATATTTTGAAATAAATTGGAAAATAATGTTTTGCAATAATTAGAAACTATAGCTTTGTTGCAAGTAATTAAACCTGAACAGGATCGACACAATAATAGTAACAGATTAACATAAACATATGTAGAAGAAATCTGTAAATATAATTTAACAATGTTAAAAATTAAATGAATAATAAAAATGAAGTTGTAAATTAAATTAAAAATATAAATAGTGTAATTCAAAAAGAGTACGAGTACAGGGTGATTCACTATATTTTGATCCCCTATTAACTTTTTTGTTTTTAGAGTTATAAAAAAATGTTAAATACAAAAGTTGTACGATTTTTTATATGGAGTTTTCGAAAATGATAGAAAAACAAGTTAATGAAGTCCAAACAAAATGTCTGCGGATGTTAACTTTATTAATTTAAATGGAACACCCTGTATATTATGTATGTGGATTGATACCTGTCAGCAATGGCCTTCCATATAACATTATCCATGAGTAATTAGGCCTCTCACGGCCTGATTAGTGATATTTAGTTAAAATACGCATTTTGGACCCTATCAATGTCCGATATGTCAAAATATATTACAACTAAATTTGTAAATCCTTACGCAATTGGAAAATAGGTAGAAATGCCTGAAAGAGATCTAACGATTGCAAGATGTGTTATTTTCTTAATAAAAAAACCTTTTCGTTTTTTAATAGTATCTCGCGTATTGTTAGAGATGGACCCGACAAACACTATATGACTATGCTCGAAAGGGAACGATCTATCGAAATATGTAAAAATATACAGGTTGTTCCATTTAAATTAACAAAGTTGACGTTCGCGGCCATTTTGTTTGGACTTTATTTGTTTTTCTACTATCATTATGGAAAGCTTCATAAAAAATCGTACAACTTTTGTATTTCACATTTTTTTATAACTCTAAAAACTAAAAAGTTACTAGGGGGGGGAGGGGTTAATATACATATAGTGAATCACTCTGTACAGTAGAGGTTAACCATTAAATTTAGTTTCTTTTTTAAAATTGCTATAACAATTTTAAATTATTTTTACGTATTTTTTTTTGTTTAATGTATATTTATTTATTTTTTTGTATATCATTTGTTCAGTAGTTAACGGTTAGTTATTTCTGTGTTAACTGATTTCATAAAATTTCCAGACCCAGGTTTATGTAGACATTTATTTATACCTAAATTATGTACACTTATAGTTCATGCAGTTCCTCAGACTACAGCCTGTATATGGATTTTTTACCTATATTAACTTTTAGATTAACTAAATTGAATTTGTCAAAAAAACAGAAAAGATCCCGAGGAGCCAAAAATGATACCGACAAATCATCCAGTGATGATGGAAAATCTAAAAGTAAAAAATTAAAAAATGTTGCATCTGAGAAGAAACCTTGTTCTGAGGAGGAGGTATCTACTGACGATGAACCTTTTATGGAATCAAAGAATAACGACATAAGTGAAACAGACCAAGACTTAGGGGAAAGTACAAATAATAAGGATGAACAAATGGCAGATATTGTTGTGGTGAGTTAACAAAATGAATACCTTTGTACATATGAGTAAATTGTTTATTTTAGGAAAAATTAAAAGAATTTGATGATGAGAAAAAAACACAGTCTAGCAATAGCGAATCAGAAGGAGAGTCTAATAATAGCGAAGCTCAAAAAAAGGTAAACATATTTTAATTAAGCAAAAGTAAAATATCGTTGATTTAGATTGTTACTTTAGCTATTTAGTTTAGTACAGCAACTTTTTTACTTAATGTTTCCTTCGTGTGGAAATGTATATACAGGGTGGGTCAATAGAAACTTTCCACCCCGATTTTTTTGGTTTACAATAAAAATCTGGGAAAACGCTCGGACACGTCGACTTTTGATTTGAGGGGGAATTATTTTTCAGTTTTTTTCATCCCCATAGCTTTAACCGCCTAGCTGGAGAGAGAACAACCCCCCAAATTTGAATAGGGGATAGAGGTCATGCCATGCCTCTTTTTAAAGGTCTCATCAAGTTCTTTATGACCCTACAATTTCGCCTCATTATTTTTATCCTTAACGAAATGACAGCTTGTCAAAATAAAAATAAATAAAAATACTTACTAATTTATTAATTAGGTCTACACGTGAACTTTATCTAACAAACTGTTCAAAATGTCCGCCATTAACATCCATGCAATAATAAAATTGATTCTCTATCTCTTCTCTAACATTCTGCAACATATCGGCAGTTATCCTTTGACATTCTACAGTTATGCGTTCTTGTAGAACTTGAAGAGAAGCTGGCTGTGTTTTATAAACTGTAGACTTCAAATGGCCCCAGAGAAAGAAGTCTAGACAGGAAAGATCAGGGGACCTTGCAAGCCACTCAATAGATCCCATACGGCCAATCCAATGACCTCTAAAATTTTTGTTGAGGAATTGCCGAACGGGGGCTGCATAATGGGCTGGAGCCCCATCTTGTTGAAAAAACACTTCATGTTGTGACAAGTTATTATCTTCAGCAATGACCTCCCTTATTCTAGGAACAAAATTGTCTTGATACATCACAGCCAGCTTCTCTTCAAGTTCTGCAAGAACGCATAACTGTAGAATGTCAAAGGATAACTGCCGATACTTTGCAGAATGTTAGAGAAGAGATAGAGAATCGATTTTATTATTGCATGGATGTTAATGGCGGACATTTTGAACAGTTTGTTAGATAAAATTCACGTGTAGACCTAATTAATAAATTAGTAAGTATTTTTATTTATTTTTATTTTGACAAGCTGTCATTTCGTTAAGGATAAATATAACGAGGCGAAATTGTAGGGTCATAAAGAACTCGATGAGACCTTTAAAAAGAGGCATGGCATGACCCCTATCCCCTATTCAAATTTGGGGGTTGTTCTCTCCCCAGCTAGGGGGTTTAAGCTACGGGGATGAAAAAAACTGAAAAATAGTTCCCCCTCAAATCAAAAGTCGACGTGTCCGAGCGTTGTCCCAGATTTTTATTTTAAACCAAAAAATTGGGGTGGAAAGTTTCCGTTGGCCCACCCTGTATAGATGTGTAATAAAAGGAATATTGAATGTGGAACAGAAACAAATAAGTTTTGTAGGTTTTTACATTTTGCGAAGATCTTGTTGAGAATTGGAACGGTAACCGATTGTACATAGAAATAATATAATAGAAAGAACGTTAGAAACATAAATAAAAGAATGAGTTTGTTTTTTTGCTCCGTCTTGTTTTGTCATTATTTTTACGATAATAGTCATTTTTCTGTAAATGCATTAATTAAAAAATAAAAAGTTGTTTTTGTTAAATGAAGAAATAGTATTTTTCATTACAATTACTTACAATCCACAAAACCTATATGTTTTTATAAACAGATCTCTTAAAAATTATGTTAAATTTATTGTTTGTTTTTGTCTTGATCAATTTTTTTAAATAGCAATCGGTTTTTTTTATACAATTTCATAGTTAGTTATAGTTATTAGACCGTAGTTATTAGGGTGTAGTTGTGGAGTAAATTGGGACTGCAGCAAATTATGAGATGATTTTTCTCATAAACCTTTTTTTTTAAGAGTAAAGTGAACATCCTAAAAAATTTCAATTTTATGTATTGTGTTCGACTATAATTACAATAAATGTTCAACTTCAGCACTATTTGCTGATGATAAAAAACGTAAAAAATTAATTTGTTTATTAGGGTACTGCGAAGCTACAAACTGTGTAAATTTAACATTTGAGTATTGTCGATTGTTTTAAAATTTTTATTCCTTCAGTTAAATGATGTTTTTCTGAAACTAAGGTATCTACTTTATTCCAAAAAAAATTTCTTGGAATAGTATGCTGTGAATTAATTTTTAATGATTTTTTTGTAAATTAAAGGCTTTGTTGTGCAAAAGTTGGAGGTTGTTTACGAATAAATAATAATCATAGCTCAAAAAAAAATCGAATGAAAAGTTTAACAAAATCGTTGAAATAGATTTTCAAAATTAAACATCAGCCTTTGTTCAAAACTTATTTGTTTTTGTGCCATAATCAATATTCCTGACTTTTGTTACAGGGTATATCAAAAAATTATTTATTTGTTATAGAAAGATGAAGAAAAGGCACCACAGGACAAAACTGATGATGAAGAGGTATAAACTTTAACACAAATAGTAATTGCATAAAATAATTTTTTTATTACAGAAAGAAAAATCAGTTGATAATGTAAATGAAACAGAAATGGTAAAAATAATTGAAATTTGTTACTTCATAGCACATTCGGTTGTAAGATTTCCATCTTGTAAATCATGTCTTTTTTTTTTTCAGGAGGAGGGAGGTGAAACAAAGATTAGTGAAGACGAAAACAGTCAGGTAATTAAATTCATTGAGATTAATATAGCACACACATCAACTTGAATTATTCATAAATAACATTTTTTTCCAGAAGGGGGATGACGAAAAAGAAAAAAATAGTGAGGACAAAAAGGAGAAGGAACAGGTAATTGAATAAAAAAAAAATTAATTTCATAAATCAAATATCTTGATATGCGAATTGTTTGGAAGTACATAATATATTTGTTAACCTCTTGAACGCTGTTGACGTATATAATTGGCATGAGCAAAGTCAATAAATAGTGATTATGACAGATATATACGCTACTAAATAATTTGTGTGTATGTCTCTGCTTACGACGGAAAAGTTCGCTTGCGGGTATCTATTGTGTACTAATTGTAAGATATATAATGACTCGCGTGGTATAAGTTGTTTTACTTCGGAATACTTTTGTATCTCATGTGTTTCACGAGTTCTACATTCTAGCAAATATATTAACTCAGGAAATAGGGTCAGACCTGCTGGATGTTACGTGGACGTATTCAGGTATTGCACCTCGCACTTTTCCATTTACCGGTAATATGGGAATCCATATTTTCCTTCTCTACATACTGATGGCAAGAATTATATGTATTTGCAACAATTTTAATACTATATTTGTTTTCTTTTTATTTTCTTAGAATATAAATACAGTATACTGTTTGTGATGACCGCAATTCTATAGTAAACTGAATATGGCGTATAAATACGCTAGTGCAAAAAAAAACCAAACTAGCGAGGAGTGCACTTCTTGCAACGGATCAAGGCGTTCAAGAGGTTAATGAATATATATATCAGAACAGAAGAACATGTAAATGTGACTGTAATTTAACAACTATTTTTAGAAAGCTGAAAGTGAAAGTGATAGTGATAATGAGAAAAAGAAATCGAAAAAGAAAAACTGGCGCAAAGATAAACTTCTGACAGTAAGGATTGATAGCAGCGATTCAGAAGAGGAGTTAAAAAAATATCATAAGAAGAAAGATCAGTCAAAAGACGAATCATTAAGGTTAGTAAATATTATTATATCACATTGCGATTTAAACATTTTTTTCTTGTTCACTGATTTATATGAAAGTATTAATAAATAATATTTTCAGCAGCGACTCTGAAATAAAATCTCCCATCATAAAGAAAAGGTAGGTAGTTGTTATCCACTAAACTTGCAAAATTTAATGATTTAACATTTTTTCAAGTTTATGTTCTTCTGTAAAATCATGACAGCAGTCTTATTTCTTTTTTTTCTTTGTTACTTGATTTAATTTAATGTTTAATCTTAACAAAAAAAGAAATACAGACACTTAATAGGTGATAAAAAAGTCATATACAGCGTGTTCCGCTGTAATATCCGGAAGAGGGAAAAGGTTATTATTTGTGGGTTTACGACAAAACGTCACTCTTTGTAAAAACTTCTGCTTGTTCCAAGACGGTCAAAATTGTTAAAATATTTGTCATTTTTTATACAGGGTGTTCAGTACTTAGAAAAATATTGTTAGTCGCCAAGAGTAAAGTACCGTTACTTTTGACAATATCGAAAAATATTATCAGGGATGTCATTTAGGATCCACAGAGGATTAAAATTATTATAATTTTTTTTAACAATGCGGGCGGCTAATTTCTATGTACCACTTTATTTGATATTTGCAAAATTTATGCAATAATCAATTTCTTTTATTTTTGTTGTCAATTTACTGGTAATAATATGAAAATTTACATAAACAAAGAATAATGTAATTTAAATTTACAAAAATCAATTTTTCTCAAATTTATTGCCTCCAATTTCTGCACAAGTTTTAGCTCTTCCAATAAGTTCTCTATAGACATTTCATATTTCGTATAGAGGAATATTAGCAAATGTTTCTTTTATTCTGTTTTTTAAAGTGTCCACATTATTACCAAGCGGATCAGCATAAACTTTTTGTTTTAGATTGCGCCACAAATAAAAGCCCATTATTGTCAGATCGAGACTTCTAGGAGGCCATGGAACAGGACCTAATCGTCCTATCCATCGATCTTTAAAATGTTGGTCCAACCATTCTCTAATCATAATTGTAGAATAATATGAATGACCATCTTGTTGAAAATAAGCCCTCTCTCGGTGTGCTCAGTAACTGCAAATAAGAATGCTGGTTCAAGTTTCCCTCTAAAATAGGGTCCAACTATTCCAAAATAAGAAACGGCACACCAAACGTTAACTTTTTTTTGAATACTGTCTTCTATAATTAATCCGAAAATTAGGATTTTCCGAGGCCCAGTATCTACAATTTTGAAAGATAACTATTCCATTCGTGGAATAAGTCGCCTCATCCGAAAAAATAATATAGTGCGAAAAATTTCTGTTTTCGAGATGGTGCTCATCCACCCATAAACAAAATTCCAACCTTTTAGAATCGTCCCCTTCTTCTAGTGTATGGACAAACTTTGGTTTATAAGAATGTATTTTATTTTTTTTAACAATCTGTAAACGAGACTTACTAACCTTTCCAATTTCTGAAGCTCTTTTTCTTAAAGATGCTTTTGGGACATTTCTTATTGATTGCATCACTAATTCTACAACATTTTCTTCTTCGTTAACCACTGTTACCCTTTTCTTTTTTAATACAGGACCAGTATTTTTAAATTTATGTACAATCCGTTTTATAGTCTTATCTGTGACTATTATGTCAAGCCATTTCTCATTAAATCGTCTTTGTACTGCCACTAATGATATTTCTTCACCCAAACCATAGCACTGAACAATAAATACTTTTTGTCCAAAAGTGAGCATTGTAATCTTAAATAAAATATTACTTAATTAATCACGAAGTGACTTTGACAGAAGATAGCAAACATTATTTATTTGGTTGTTATAGCCGCAGCATCCGTCAATTTAAACTATATAGCACCCACAATCAGGTGCTCGCCTTGTTTAAAAAAAAAATTCAGCAGAAATTAGTGAAACCTGAAATTTTGAATCCCCTGTGGATCCTAAATATCATCCCTGATAATATTTTTCGATATTGTCAAAAATAACGGTACTTTACTCTTGGCACTAACAATATTTTTCTAAATACTGAACACCCTGTATAAGAAATGACAAATATTTTAACAGTTTTGACCGTTTTGGAACAAGTAGAAGTTTTTACAATTGTGGGTTTGGGGTTTGTGACTTTGTGGATTTGGAGTTTGTGAGTTTGAGTTCGTATGTAACTTTTAAATTATATGTAATTTTTTTTTTTAAAAGAATATATAGCATTACTACATAACCTCAAATATGACAAAAAACAGTGTATTTTGCACTTTTAGGTTAGGATATCTCAAAAACCTGACGTGATAGAGCAATTCTGTGGCCAGATTCGGATTCAGCGCACCAAAATCCTTGGGGAATGCATATTAGTGTGTCTGCTTCTTGACCCTTGTTGACCTGTGTTATTAGAACACATTAAGTTTCATCTATCTACATCTTCAAAGATATTTGATCAAATATTATAACTCTTTACTTTATACCTCGGAAACTAAGCATTTTTTGGCCCAGATTTCCTTTTTTTTATTATTTTGAGTAGTTCTGTCATCAGGTAAATCAGGGTTTAAAAGCAGGATATCCTCCATCACACAGTATTTCGGCTTTTGTAAAATATTTTTAACTTATAACCATACAGCAACATGAATACAAGCTATGATAACTTGGATGACAAAACTTTTATTTTCAAATAGCTCCAAAAAAAAGTTAATGGGATTCTAATTTGGTGAACTAGGAGACCATAGTAAGGATTCACTTTTAAAGGCATTTCTTGATTGAAAAATTTTCTGGGAACAAATGTCGAAGAGGTGAAGGTTATCCGACCAGTTCTGAATCCCACTCTTTTCTGGGACTATTTGAAAGAAGAAGTTTACCGTGACCCAGTTGTTAATCAAGATGTCAACTTGTGTTTATGCTACCAATGTATTAATGGACAGAAATGAGCTGCAGGTTTACACTTCCATATCTTGTGAATGTTTTTCTTTGACGTAAAAAGGACTTATTTGAACATATTTTATGACATTTTTGTAATATTGTTCGTTCTTGATAAGATTTAAATGATGCATTTACTTTCTTTTTTTTTGATAACTCGAGAAGGAAGTCCAATCAGATACTCCACATTTCATGTTTTATTTGTTTGTTGAGATACTCTATGTGATTTTAACGCTTTTCTTATTTGAATTTTTGAATTCTTGATTAGTTTTCAAACCGAAATTTTCTAAAATACTTATTTGAATTTGTTTAAAGTTTGAGTTGATGTTAACATATTTTAAAGTCGTTGTTATTGTTTTGTTATATTTAAATTTCATCTTATTCTAGGAAAGTGAAGAAAAGAGTCAGAAAAGCTGTCGTTTCATCCGACTCGGATGGATCAAACAAAAATAATCGAAGTTCTGGCAGCAGTAAAAAAACTGACAGCTCCGACGAAAATAAATCTGATAGTGACAGTGACAAGAAGGAAGAAGTAACTAAGTAAGATGTTAACCACAATAATTTTATATACAGGGTGTAACTTCGAATGGGGTAATATTTATACGGAGACTATCTTTGACCTTTAAAAACGTATATCCTAAGTTTGTTTTCTCAAGTTCCTTTGTGTAAACTAAATTTTTTTCAAACTTTTATTCCTAATCATACCTCGCAAAATGACGACGCTGGAGCCATTCTCGCTGTGCATGTTGAATTAACAAAAAAAAAGTACTCATTTGTCAATAAATTGTTAGACTCAACTTATCGAAAATCCCATACATAATTCTCTTCACAATGTTATTTTAAAGATATGCTCAAAATTTAGAGTGAATAGAATGAAAATTGTTAAAATTATGCTGCGTTTCCTTTGAAAAAATTGCGTTTCGGAAAAACGCCTTTAAAGTTTTGAAATATATGCTATACTAATGTACATTCATTTGAAAATTCTTCTAATTGAACACAAACTCTTTTCAATGACATCTGTTGTTATTAATGACATCTGTTATAGTCGGGTATCAAAATAATAGGCAGTGATTTAATCTTTAGACCGGCTCACCATTTTTAGCAGTCAACACAAAGAGAAGTACGAGCCGTTTGCAAATTCTTCATATAAAATTGTGTGTGCCGCATTCTCCCACAGCAGTCGATACTGCACAGTTTTAGAAATTCTTCTGCTGCAGCAAATTCTAGACTTTCATTGCTGTTTGGTGCGTGACGTCACATGGATTTCGTTTGGCGTGCACTGGATATTCCTCTACTGCAGCAAATTCTACACTTTCATTGGTGTTTCAATTGGGCTCGGTTCATTCGGATCCAAGTATTCCTCTTGGTACAGGCAAATAGGCGTACACGCGGGAGAAGTCCAACGATATCTTTCCGTTAATTTAATTTAATTGTGTTCGTAATTAATTTATTAGAGATTTTGAGTTTGTATTCTTAAAATAGAGAGTAATTCAAGCTCTACAGTGTGTTCTCGTAATAGTAANAGAGATTTTGAGTTTGTATTCTTAAAATAGAGAGTAATTCAAGCTCTACAGTGTGTTCTCGTAATAGTAAGCGTCCTCATCTAACAAGGCAGGAAGATCAGATGATAAAAAACTTGTATGAAGAGTTTATATCACGAAACCAAAACATTAGTGTGTGGTGCAGTTGAAATGTGCAGTTCGTTAACAAGAGTGTCAGTGAGAAGTGCAATAAGGAGTGACAAAGAAGACTCGACTGCAAAACAGAAAAAAAGGGTGGAAACTCGCAGAAGGAAAAAGATAGATGGTGATGACGACACAAAATATGCGAATCACAGACAATTCATGGATGGTATTTTAAAAATGAGCTTCCGACAATAAAAAAAATTCAGGCTGCACAGGATCAAAATTTGCCTAGAATATCCAGAAGGGTGCTTTTGCAAACTATGCGTGACATGAATTTCCGTTTTATAAAATGAAATCGAAAGAGTATGCTGATAGTAAAAGAGGAAATAATGATATGGCGAAGAAACTATTTAAGACAAGTATTAGAAGTTCAAAAAATAAATCGTAAAATATATTACACGAACGGAACATGGAAAATTTAAGGTCATACGATGACAAAAGTATAGCAAGATGTTAATATCCAAAGAAAACGGCAGGCATTTCTGGAAAGATTTTCGACTGAAGTGATAGATAGTAGGCAGAAGTGTATTCTGTGTATTATTATAAGTGATAAAGTGTGATATCCGCGGCGTGCCCATCAGGTAGGTGTAATTGGGTGGTGATGGACCATCACCATCTGAAAGGATGGCACAATTGTTGAGAGGATGACAACCTTTATAAGCCTTTTAAAGTAAATATTACGGTACTCTGGTATAGTAGTATTAGAGAAGTTAGAAATCAAAAGGTAAGGTCCTGCAGGTATCTATGTGCCGCAGGTAGTCATTTTGGAGCAGTCGGACTTGCTTTGGGAAAGAGCTCGGAATTTCAAAGAAAACAATTGTTGTGGTATAAAACATTATTCCAGAAGGTTCAAAGCATCTTTTAAATCACTTAAAAAATAGTGATCTAACTCATTCAACAAATATTTTTTTTTTTTTTTTAGAAAAACAACTCGAAAAAGGATAAAAAGGACCAACGACAGCAGCAGCAGTGACGAAGATAAGTCGACTAGGAAAAATATTAGAAAGGTACAAAGGATGGCATATTGTTTAAAATAAAATCTGACATAATTCTTATTAGGTTATAGGTCGGGACTCTCTATCTGAGACCACGAAACAGGCCGAGGCCGAGGAGAAAGAACGTAAGGCCCGTATCGCAGAAAAACAGAAAAAAGTAGGTTTTGCTACTCATTTGTATAACTTTTCTTCAAGGAAGTGTTGTGTTTTTCTAGTACAATAAAATATTTGAGTTCACTGCCGATTCCAAAGTGGATAAAGTGGTTCTAGATTACGACGAAGAAAAAAAAGAGGAGTTGCTGGCTGTGGACAAAAAGGTTGTGAAAAAATTGAAACCCCACCAAGCTAGCGGTGTCCAATTCATGTGGGACGCTTGTTTTGAGTCCATTGAAAGGGCTAAGAACACCAAAGGATCTGGCTGCATTTTAGCACACTGCATGGGTCTAGGAAAAACATTGCAGGTATTCCAGAAACAGTTGTTTGAAATATAAAATAACTTAAAAAACGGACTTTTAATTGCGAATTGTCTCAATAAGAATTGAGTGTTTGAGAGTTGCTTTTTATATTTCGGGAATAGAGAATAAAAAAAGAAATTTTCCATTCCGAATGAGGTACCTCTAAAACATGCATTTTGGACACATCAATCACTTCTTCAAGTATCGAAAAATCGTTGACCTTGTAATTTATTTTTGATATGCGTGAATAAAAAAAGTCATTTGGTGCCAAATCAGAGATGTACTGCGGATGGCTCATCAATTCTTAAAAAGTCTGTTGTTTGTGTTGATGTGTGAGAGCACGCATTGCACTGATGAAGAATGATGTGTCTTCATCATTTGGTTTCCCTTATTTTTCTGAAGGCTTCTGGCGAACAAATTATTGTGTACCATTCAGAATTGACTGTCAGACGTTGCACTAATAGTACAGTTACCATATTAGTCCAATAAATGAAATTTGTAATACATGTAAATCAAGTGGTAATTGGTTTCAGATTGAAACTTGGTTTAATCGTTAGTATAGGCAAAAAGAAATAATATTTCCCAAAAAGTATCGGTTTAAAACAACAAGATCGTTGTTTAAACAATGATTATAATCTAAAAATTACCAAAAATGGAGTTTTTTAGCTGTATTAAAAAGTTTTTGCTTTTGTTTATACTTATAGGTTTTCAAAAAACGCTTCATTTGAGACCTGCTAAATTAAAATCCATTAACAATTTGTTTAAATAATTGCAAAAAAACAGCAAAATTTGAATTTGCAATAAATAAAAGAAAAGAGTATAAATCTTCTTTAAACTGCAGTAAAAGTTGTATTTTGTTACGCTTAAGAAACCCTGAAAATTTGGTAAAAAACATATTTATTTGTTTACGAGTTTTTGCATTTGTTTATTAGAAATAGCATTTTTTCTATTGCAAAAACGCGGTTCTTAGCGTTATAATAAAGTTCCTTATGAGGGCTCATTTGTTTCGTCTTGACTTATATTTTCAAGATATGCAATTGGAAATTGTAATTTCATAAGCTAACCTCCTCAAAACGGCGTATAAACAAATAGTGTAATTTGTTTATAAGATTTTTCGTTAATAACTGTGAAGAATGAATATTTTTTAAAGCCCCTTTGATATTCGTAATCCTGGTAATTTTTCACGAATTGGAAAAAAAATTGTTCTAGGACCATTTTTAACCCAGATAGCGTTTTTTTTTTTTTTTAATTCATAACTTGTTTATTTATAAACATTAAGACTTGAAATTTCGGGAATAAATCAATCAACCCTTAAACTTCATAATAACGTTAAAGATATTGAAAAAAATGCATTTTATAGTAATTTTTAACTCTTTAAAAACGTCCTCGAATACATTTTTACACCTGAAATGTGGTGGGGAAATAAGAGAGAAACGTTCCGAGACTTCAAATCTTAACTACCCGAAAATTTTGCGATATCTCCGGTAATTGTGGATCAATTTTAAGTTTTTTTTTTAATGTGGGGTAGCGCATGAATATAATAACTGCACGGTCCATTTTGCAGTATTTAATAATTAATTTGTTATAAACTATTAATTTTGTAAAAAAAAAAAATTTTCACATTTTTTCGAAAAATATTTGTTCACAATTTATTCACAATAAACAATTTTCTTAAAAAACAATATTTTTATGTAAAAAAATTTAGGAATTGACATTTTATTTAATTTTAATGAGAATTGACTTTTTGGATGTAATATGCATAATAGTATTATTTTTTTAAAATATAATATGTAATTTATATATTCAAATATGTTAAAAAATAATACTATTATGCAAATTACATCCAAAAACTCGATTCTCATTAAAATAAACTTTATACATAAAAAATACATGTCATTTCCTGAATTTTTTTACGTAATATTTTTTTTTAGGAAAATAGTTTATTGTGAATAATTATTTCTTGAAAAAATGTGAAAAAAAATTTTTTTTACAAAATTAATAGTTTATAACAAATTAATAATTAATTATTGCAAAATGGACCCTGCAGTTGTTAGATTAAAAAAAAAACGTTAAAATTGGTCCACAATTACCGGAGATATCGCAAAATTCTCGGAACGTTTCTTATTTCCCCCACCACATTTCAGGTGTAAAAATGTATTTGAGTACGTTTTTTAAAGGGTTAAAAATTACTTTTAAATGCATTTTTTTCGATATCTTTAACCCTTATTATGAAGTTTAAGGGTTGATTGATTTATTCCCGAAATTTCAAGTCAGGTATAAATAAACAAGTTATGAATTTAAAAAAAACGTTGTCTTGGCTAAAAATGGTCCTAGAACAATTTTTTTCTTTTAATTTCCTGAAGAATTACCAGGATTACGAATATCAAAGGGGCTTTAAAAAATACTCATTTTCGCAAAGTTATTAACGAAAATCTTTACATTACACTATTTATTTATACGCCATTTTGAGGAGGTTAGCCTATGAAATTACAATTTCGAATTGCATATCTTGAAAATATAAGTCAAGACGAAACAAATGAGCCCTCATAAGGCCCTTGATTATAACGCTAACAACTGCGTTTTTGCAATTGAAAAAATGCTATTTCTAATAAACAAATGCAAAAACTCGTAAACAAATAAATATTTTTTTACCAAATTTTCAGGGTTTCTCAAGCGTAACAAAATACAACTTTTACTGCAGTTTAGAGACGATTTATGCTCTTTTCTTCTATTTATAGCAAATTTAAATTTTGCTGGTTTTTTGCAATTATTTAAAATTGTTAATGGATTTTAATTTAGCAGGTCTCAAATGAAGCGTTTTTTGAAAACCTATAATTATAAAAAAAAGCAAAAAATCCTGTTGGAGAACGCTTTTTAATACAGTTAAAAAACTCAATTTTTGGTAAATTTTACATTGTAATAATTGTTTAAACAATGATATTGTTATTTTAAACCGATACTTTTTGGGAAATATTTTTTTTGCATAAACTAACGATTAATCCAAATTTCAATCTGAAACGAATTTTTTTACATTTTTTTTTTTTTTTCATTTATTGGGCTATATGTCCAGTTGTTTCAAAAAAGCTGGCGACCATTTGCTCTTAGAAGTGCTTCCTACCCGAACAACTTTTGTTGGTTTTGGCTCATCTTGGAAGACCCATACAGTCGACTGCTGTTTATTTTCAGGCTTATAGACGTAGATCCATGACCTGTTATGATGTCATAGACATGTTTTGAAGCAAGGCAATCATATTTCTTAAGCATTTTTTACAACCAACCAACAACGAACAAATTTTTTTGGTGGCCAAATGTTCATGCAATATTGAACGTACGCTGGCCCCACTACTGACCGAGGATGCCTCGATCTCATTATAAGTCACATGACGATCTTGCAATATCAGTTTATGCCCAGCATCAACGTTTTCTGGAACAAAAATGGATTTTGGAGGAGTCTCACGAAATTTGTCAGTCAGTCAAGGCCACGATTGAATCCTGTATATAATCGATATACAGTGTTGGGATAATCCACGTTGAAAGTTGTAAAAAATATTTGCTTGGAAATGTTCACGACTTAATTCCATTTTTGGGATGATAGGGACGTTGGTTGTCAGATGGCAGCACCAGGATCGTCCATTCCCGAAATATAAAAGGCAACCCTTGTAATTACAAGTTTTTCAAATATACTAATAATAATTTTTTAGTAAATTCTAATAACTTCTTTCTTTTTAAATTTTCTTGCAAATTAGCAATTTTATGTTTTTAGTATAGGTTTTTATATTTGACTTTAATAATTGTCTTTGGTATCGAAATAAATTAACTGTATTTGTTGAAATTAATCGAACATCGAGTACATCGTTTGTTGAAATATAAAAATACAATTCAGAATGTCAAATTTGACATCATACAATCCGTATAAAATTATAAAAAAAAAAACACCCTGCATGGTAGTTCAGTAACTTAAATTGAGTTTAGGTCATAGCCCTGTCTCATACCTTATTAAGGAATGCGAAAAGTACAGGAGTTCGTAAGGTTATGGTCGTATGCCCTCTTAATACAGTACTAAATTGGAAAAGCGAATACAAAAAATGGATGCCAAGAAATGATGAATTTGAGGTTTTCGAACTGGTGTCCTCCAAACAAAATTACGAGAGACAGTATATTGTCACTGAATGGTGCAATGACGGAGGCGTTTTGATAATCGGATATACCATGTTTCGAAACCTTAGTAATCCCGACAACAAAAGGCTAAGCAAGAAAATGCGAAATGTGTTTAATGAGGGTTTAGTAGACCCAGGTATTGTATTTTTTACGTTTATTTTTAAAACTTGGGAAACTCGTATGTGTTGGTTTTAGGACCTGATTTAGTTGTATGCGATGAAGGGCATCTATTAAAAAATGAAAAAACCCACCTCAATATTGCCATGAACAGGATTAAAACTTTAAGAAGGATCGTACTTACCGGCACTCCGCTGCAAAATAATCTCAAAGAATATTGGTGCATGGTGCAGTTCATAAAACCCAATCTCCTAGGGACCTACAAGGAGTACTTGAATAGATTCGTGAATCCAATCACGAATGGACAATACACAGACTCTACACAGCACGACATTCTGCTTATGAGGAAGAGATCCCATGTGCTCCATAAACTTTTGGATGGCGTCGTTCAGCGCAGAGATTATGCTGTTCTTGAGCCATACTTGCCCCCAAAATATGAGTACGTTTTGTTTATCCAACTCACGGAAACACAAGTGAAAATTTACAGCCATTACATGGATAGGTTTGCCCGTCAGAATGACGGTTCCAATAGAACGTCATTTTTATTTGCTGACTTTCAAGAGTTACAAAGGATATGCACTCATCCCCGGGTTCTCCTCGATAAGTCGAACGAAAGGAAGGAAAAAGAGCTTGATGAGGATTCTGAAGGTTCACTGAAAGATTTTATCGATGATGGAGAAGCCTCCTCGGAAAAATCGTCTGCAAGTTCATCTTCAGGATCAAATTCTGATTCTGATGGTTCCGGTAAGGACAAAGATAACAGATCTAAAAGAAAGCAGCAGAGGGTACGTGTAACAAGAGCACAGGCAGCACAGAGTAAGTTCTTATAATTTTTTAGCTATTTTTGTAGTTGTGAAATGGAAGCGTTTTAGGCACACGGAGAAAAAATTGTTTTTGATGTTACTTCTAAACACATATTTTGCAATATATGAACAAAAGTTTTTCTTCAACATTATTTTGATAGCATAAAATAATTTTTAAATGTATAACATGTAGATAACAATGCACTTGTGTATAAAAAATATTGGTTTTAGTTTAAAA